CCTAACAGTTAAGCATCTGAAAATAAAGCTGAGGATGAATATGCACTTACCAAATATCATGAAAGCATTCCAATGAAGTTTGACAATGAATAGTGACCCAAACCGAACTTTAATCTGCTCTGGTCTACATGATTCAGAGCCTAAAAGTTCCTATTATTTAATGATTAAAAAAAAAAGCCTGCAATGACAGATTTATAAAGGTGTGTCTAGATGCAGAATTTGAGTTTAACATTTCTACGGCTGCTGCTTTAGACTATTATTAAAAAAACACAACTTCCCCAATCTTTATTCAACATGTACTTGAAAACATGTAGCAGCATAGTATAGTTTATTAAGTTTATAAATATCAGTACCTGTAATAAAATATAAAATGCAGATTCTCCCTTTTTCAAATATTAAGTCTCTGAATGCTTCATTCATCCTTTGGTTTCAACCCATACAGTGCACTCATGTTACATTGTAGATTCAGCATTGAGACGAACACTGTACATCTGTTAGGGGAGGAGGGCGCTACATTGTAGAAAGTAAACGCTGAAGCAAAAATACTTTCTGAATATATACTGTACATCATGTAAACAAACATTCATAAGAATCAACACAGGCCAAAATATTGTTTTTTAGGAAATCAGAATCTTCTTTCATTTAAGTTCCCCCCGTTTTACGCCGTGTGCCCTCGGGCAGGGTGCGTCCTCTGTTCCCTTTCTTCTTTCATTTGAAAACTCTGCAAACAAGTCCCAGTGTCCACTCGACAGGACTAAAATTATGATGAATCTGATGAATAGGTAAAGCCCACAGTCTAAGCCTCCTCTGAAAGGTTGCAGTAATTAACATTCCCCTGTGGTCTGACCATGAGGACGTGACATAATCCTCTACTGTAAAGAAGAGCTGTTGTTTTGGAGTTTGGGGTCCTGGACATCGGAATGACAGCATGTGTGGTCCCCACTGTGCAGCCAGTTGCTGCTTGGCCCACGGGGCTCAGTGGGTTAGGGGTCATTTCCTAGCAGTTCCAAAAGACCTCTGGGAGTGGGGTGGGGTGGGGTGGCAGCGGCTAGAGGCCACTAGTCAGGGATTCAGTCATTCACCCACACTGACAAAGGGATGGAATTTCGACTTTGACCTTTCCAAATAAGATTGCGCATGCAGTTGCCAAGGTAGGATGACATTCAACTTATCTCAGAGGTCATCACATCACAAAGGTCGTGCTGGAATACAACTACAGCTTGCCATTAGTTACCTTGGAAGAGCCTGACTCTAGTCAAATATTTTTGTGCTTTCAACATTAACTTGTTAAATGTAAATATTTAACATATGCAGCCATTTTTATTTTGTAAAATACTGATTGCCTCAAAAAATGGAGGTGGCTCGAAAGCTCCAGATGACTTGGAGGCTCTGGGCTGTCAGTCACTCAGGTTTGGTTTTGAGTGGCAGGTCTGCAGCCATTTACGGGAGCCTGGGACCTACCTTATAACCTTTCCCAAGCTGTTGAATTAGCTGTAAAGCAGGAGTGAAACCACCAGCCTAACAGCGCTGTTAGGATTAAATAAGACATACAGGAAAGCATTTTCTGAAGTTGTCTCCAACGGTGAAATTGCTGTTTATTCTGCAAGCCAAAGGCACACTTCTACAAATGGGAACCTTTTCACGCCTTTTTTTGTTCCCGTCCCCTTTTCATTTTTATACATCTCATTCAAACTTTGTTTTGATAAAAGAACACTTTGAAAGAACAGCTTGCTCATCATAACATTCTTTAAAAAAATCAACACTAAAGTGCTGTCAATTTAAATGTAAAAATATTCATGTAAGACCAGTGCAAAACATGATGGAATTATTCTTCAGCATTCTTTCAAAGGATTTACTAGACACCTCATTTCCAGATTTTTAGTTTGTGCCTATTGTTAATGACGTTAAGCAGGTAAGTACTTTGAAAGTTATTCAACTGGTCATGCTACTACAAAGCATCTTCAGTGATGTA